TTTCTGACCAACGAGGAACATGTGAAAATTCTCAGTTATTTTCTTTGCCCTGTCGAAGATGTGTCTCCCTTTAGATCCAGAGACATCAGGAAGGACTGTTCAAAGCTGGAACGCGTAACACACTTCGAGACGTTTGATGTGCCGCTATGTTGTGATAGGAAGAAGTTAGGGGAATCACCGAAAGGGGAGATAACCGACGATGTTTATCTGAAGTGTAGTCGGAGAGTTATGTTTCACGGATTTAACATGTTCGGATCTGGTCGACAACATATCTATTGTCATAAATATCACCTAAAGATATACAAGAATGTCAGTTGCTATGGAAACTACAGAAAACTCACTTTAGAAACTGATATCGTAGCTGGTACGCTTTCGGATGCAAACGGTATAGCAAGTGCAAATTTAAGGGCACCCATTTTTCTGGATAGCGAACAAACATATCACATTCAGGTGACCCTGAAATCAGGTGACCTTCCGCTCTACGTAGGTGAAGGTCAGAGACTGAGTGTCGAGACCGGACAATTTAGTTTTGGCTTCCGAAAGCGAAACTCCCCTGTTAGATTCATTTCGGGGATTATTTTCAGCGACGGCTGTCCAAAAGACGGAGGATTGAAACTAAAATGGAACGTGCCTCTCTAACAGGAGTACTCACACGACAGCCCAGTTATTTTACGAATGCCTCCGGTATTATTCACGTCGCTCAAGAGCACACGACACATAGGGCGAGACACACCCTTAAATCAGTGCTATATCGCAGACTGACACGTGTCGTGTGGCGATATTTCTTGTGAGAATATCGTATGAGGAAAATATACAGACAATGAATTAGTATGGAAGAGTGGTAGTGCCAAAAAAGAACACATCATGATACTTTCATCTTCTTCTTTATTGATATCATAACCATGTGTGTCCATATCATTTCTCAGGCCCTGATATTGTTTTGTGAAGTTGCGACTCGAGCTTGGCATAGTTTATACAAACGCACGCACGCACACTGAAATCATTTCAAATTTTCAAAATATCAGAAGTAAAATATAAAAAGATAAAAGTAGTTCTTTTTACAAAAGTTTGACACAATCACATGAAGAGTTACTTTATTAAATGTCAAGGTCAAACGATATGGCATTATGAAATGAAACAGAGGTTACAAAAATCACCTAGAACTTTTACTCGAGAAAATATTGTTCCCAAAGTCGATGATTTGATAGTAGATTATACATTTTCTGACTATATTATAACATCATATAAGTATATTGTACGTAGATGTGAATAGCATCATCCACGTAGATCTAAGTTCTCCTATGTTGATCTAAGTATCAGCTCCGTTGATCTAAGTATCAGTGTCAGCCTTTGATCTAAGTGCCAGCTACGTTGATCGAAGTATTAGCTATGTTGATCTAAGTATCAGCTCCTTTGATCTAAGTGTCAGCTACGTTGATCTAAGTACGTTCAGCTAGCTACGTTCATCTAAGTATCAGCTACGTTGATCTAAGTGTCAAGTGATCTAAGCTCATCCATGTTGATCTAAGTATTAGATACTTTGATCTAAGTATCATCAATGTAAATCCAAGTATCATCAAGGCGAATGATATTGTGTTACAATCCGGCACTAATAGGCTTGGAGAAGAGTTAAAGGATATAAAGCATTCCATACAGTATAAAGCACCTAAGTCCAGCGACTCAGTAGATGTGAGTTAGTTTTTGACGTGGGAGTCAGCAATATTCTAAAAATAATATGGGGATAGCCTGAATGAACGAGTTGTTGAAACATGTTCAATAAATATAGTTTTACGTCGCTGTTAGCAATATTCCAACCATATCACGGCGGGTCTTCAACGTGACGAGTAAACGCCTTAACCATTAGGCTACCCACACCGCCAGTCCTTGAAGCTGACTGAGTTTGGTTTTATGGCGCTTTTAGCAATATTCCAGCAATATCACGGTGGGGGACACCAGAAATGGGCTTCACTCATTGTACCCATGTAGGGATTCGAACCCGGGTCTTCGGCGTGACGAGCCAACGCTTTAACCATTACGCTACCCCACCGCCCGCCAGTCCTTTAAGGGATGACTGTCGGAGTATGTGTTAGTCCGACTGTTAACGTTAAATCTGTGTACTAACTGTTACCAAATGAGCTGGTCACAATCAAGGGCCATGTTTTTTTATATATGTTTGTTGTAATACCATGAATACCAACGAGGAATTAAAAAATACATGAAAAGAAGGTCGCGTGTAATTTTTCATTTTGCTGCTGTACTGTCTTGATGTTATTATATTTAATATCAGCTTTCGACATGGCATCAAACCTTTTTTGCCCTCCAAAAACCTGGTATATTTTGCAGCCTAAATTCTCACTATGTTTCATGAAGCTTGATTCATTACGTTCATACCTTCATATTTTACCTGAAAATGGGGAGATGCATGCGCTTCTTCACAAAGAAAGGTATACTTGTTATATTTTCTTAGATTTTACAATCACTATTGTGCGACTCATGTGTTACATATCTCAGGTATTTGGGACATTTCTGTAGTGTCAGTAGCCCCGAGTAGCCCCGATTTTCAAATGTTTCTGTCATCGCATCTTAATTGCGTAGATCGATGCTCATGCTGTTGACCACTGCATTGTCTGGTCCTGACACGGTTATTTACAGACCGCCGCCATATAGCTGGAATATTGCTGAGTGCGGCGTTAAACTAAACGTATTCGCTCATTCCTGTAGTTGTTCCAAGAGAAATGCCGTGTGTTTGATATTTAACATTAATTGTTGTCTTGTTACCGTTTTTCTGTTCATTAAATGGACACTTTGCAAAATGTAGTGTCCGTAGCCCTAAATACAGGACAAGGCAAGGTAATCAGCTCAAAAATGAAACATACAACTTTCTGGACAACTTCTTATTTATTGCATAGAGCGACGTTTCGATGTAAATCCTTACGTCGTTATCAGCTACCTACGTGTTTGTCTTTGTACTTAATGTTTCACAGCTTTGTCAAATGCTACTACTGAGAAGATGTCTTTTAGCGGCATTTAGAAGTTGTATATAGATGTCCAAGATATTTTTTTATGGATTAAACTTTTTTTATTTCCCTCACAACGTTTCGGGACCATTACAGATCATTCCAGTTCACCTGATGAAGTGATCTGTAATAGGCCCGAAACGTTGTGAGGGAAATAAAAAAAAAGTTTAATCCATAAAAAATATCTTGGACATACTACTGAGAAGTTTTGAAAGGGTGTGATATAACTTACTAGGTACTGATTAAAAGTTATTTTCTACCTATGTCTATTTATTTACCACGTTTTTATCATACTACTTCTGATTTCTCAGATAGAGAAAAAGACCATGTACTTTACAATGTGGTTCCAATGAAAATAGAACACATACTGACCCTCATTGAATGTTTTTGGTTTTGTTTTTCATAAACTGCTTGCTACAAAAAAAAACATTTTTAATCTTCATTGTTATACGCCATTTTGTAGTGTCCGTAGTCAAGGGTATGTAGACATGTTTGTGGTGGGTTTAGGCCAAAACTGGATTAAAATAGGAAAACCTATTGTTTAGGCTATAAAGTGCTAACATAGACATAGTATTTCTTACACCACTGGGCACTTTAATTGCCCTTGAATTTTTAAACAAAAGTACAGCAAATATGCCCCTGGTTGTGACCAGGTTGAAAGAGGTGAGGTGAGGTAAAATTGGGTTTTTCGTCGTACTTGAGAATATTTCGCTCATGTGACGACGTGGATGCGTGTGTATGTGTATGTGCGGCTGCTTGTACTAGCTTTGATAGTGCTAGCTCACTGAGATACCATGCCGCAGTTAGCATGAATACCCCACTCAGACACATTATACTGACTCCGAGCCGACCAGTCCTTGTACACATTAATGCCGAGCGCCAGACTGAGACCAACAAGTACCATATTTTAACGTCTTTTGGTATGACGCGACCGGGGATCGAAGACGCGACCTTCCGCTCTCCAGGTTGAAAGAGAGAACAATATATGACTTGAACTAATTAATTACCCAAGCGAAAATTTAGCAAAGATTACTCAAACGGCTGACTGGGTTGATCTTGCTGCGTGGACAAACAGTTGAACCAGTTTAATTCATCCATGCTGTAGGACCAACAAACTTCACTTAAACTTAATGTTGACTTTATTCTCTTCTTTTCTTTTCTAGTCAGAACTAGCAGATTAACTGCCAAACAATAAAATAAACTATCATAAAAAGTGACTGACAAAAGAGTAAAATAGTATAATTATTTGACAAATAGATTGACAATATACACTTGCTACTTGAGCTTAATACTTATAACATAAAACCCTATTTCAGTGTAATATAGAAAGTTACTTCCAAAAAATGCAAACAGAGAAACAGTTTATAAAACATACCTAAAATATCCTAGCAAATTATTATACATAAAATAATAAATTACAAAATAAATAAACTCTGTCAAAAAAAGAAACGCAACCCCTGTCCTCAGATATGAAAATTCGTTTGAATGAAGTTATTGCTTCCAAACTAAATGTTATTCGAATGTATTGAAATTATACACGTAATTAATGAAGATTACCATCCAAACAACTGCATTTGTACGCATAAGTGTATTTTATTGCTTATTCCGTCACAACGCATGAAATGACCCTCATGGTGACTTCTGCACAAAAACACACATGCAAATCATGAAATGGCAGTTAATGTAGGGGTGTATAAAGCCCATGTGCTTTCGTATTATATTCATTCATTTGTCGCCGAAAAGCTGTGTGAAAATGCCACGATTGAGTGCTGCCGACCGAAATATCGC